GACCTGAGCCAAAATCAAGAGTTGGCAGCTCAACCGACTTGAGCCCCCCAGAAACCCTCCATTTATTTTTAAAGGTACACAGAAGGGGGCGCCTGGCTGGCTCAGTCGGGAGAGCATGCGACACTTGATCTCAGGTTTGTGAGTTTGGGCCCCGTGTTGGGTGTAGAGATTAAAAATAAAACCTTTAGGGGCACCTGGGTGGCTCGGTCGCTTAAGCGTCCGACTTCGGCTCAGGTCACGATCTCATGGTCCGTGAGTCCGAGCCCCCGCGTCAGGCTCTGGGCTGCGGGCTCAGAGCCTGGAGCCTGTTTCAGATTCTGTGTCTCCCTCTCTCTGCCCCTCCCCCGTTCGTGCTCTGTCTCTCTCTGTCTCAAAAATAAATAAACGTTAAAAAAAAATAATAAAAATAAAATCTTTAAAAAATAAAAGATAAAAGGTACACAGAGAATCCAAAGAAGTCTCCAGATGAGACCACCAAATTCCTAAATCTGTAACCAGCAAAATTTGAGGTCAGTAATTAAATATTTGCCTTAAACTTTCTATTAAAGTAGAAAAAAAAAAAAGCACAATTTCTCCATGATATCAGGAGTCATAGCAATAAATCTGGTTTGATGTGAATATGGCTATTTCCATAAAACTTCCAGGAAGAGAGAGCCAAAAATGCTTCAATTAATCCCAAGATGGTATAAAGTATAACCTGGGGCTATCAATTCAATTTGTACTAAATACTGATTGCTTGCAACTATTCTTTCCTCCCGGTTCAGAACTATATCTTTAATAAATTTTCTTCATCAGCTAGGAAGATCCAAATACCCAAATTAAGAATGCTATTATGCCTTAATCCATTAATAGGCTTGTTATAACCCAAATGCTGTCTTTTTTTCAGGGTAAGAAGTTTGATTTTTCTGATGTTGCCGTCACATTTATGCAACATTGTAAATGGGAGAATGTCATGATTTACAGTATCATGGTTATCATTAATAATAATGCACAAACTAAAGAAACATTAAGATTTCCCTGCTATTTAACTGGCGCGGCCACTCTGGAAAACAATATGGGAGTTCCTCAAAAAGTTAAAAAACAGAACTGGGCGGGGGCATCTGGGTGGTTCAGCCGATTAAGTGTCTGAGTCTCGATTTCGGCTCAGATCATGATCTCACGATTCATGAGTCTGAGCCCCACATCGGGCTTTGCACTGACAGTGTGGAGGCTGCTTGGGATTCTCTCTTCCTCTCTCTCTGCCC